TAGTGTTAACCTTGAAACAGTGCTTCAAAGTCATTGTAGTGTGTCAAGCTCGAGGATATACCTTGAGGTCATTGCGAAATATATAACCTTGAGGGGAAGCTCATTATAATAAGTTAAGCTTGAGAATTTACATTGAGTGAGCATATTAATCTTGAGAACGTATCTGAAGGTTATAGTGTTAACCTTGAAACAGTACTTCAAAGTCATTGTACTGTGTCAACCTTGAGGATATACCTTGAGATCATTATAATATATAACCTTGAGGAGATGCTCATTATAATAAGTTAAGTTTGAGAATTTCCATCGAGTGAGCATATTAATCTTGAGGACGTATCTGAAGGTCGTAGTGTTAACCTTGAAACAGTGCTTCAAAGTCATTGTAGTGTGTCAAGCTCGAGGATATACCTTGAGGTCATTGCGAAATATATAACCTTGAGGAGAAGCTCATTATAATAAGTTAAGCTTGAGAATTTACATTGAGTGAGCATATTAATCTTGAGAACGTATCTGAAGGTTATAGTGTTAACCTTGAAACAGTACTTCAAAGTCATTGTACTGTGTCAACCTTGAGAATATACCTTGAGGTCATTGGAATGAGTTAACCTAAAGAATATACCTCAAGGTCCTTGCAACGTGTCAACCTTGAGAATATACCTTGAAGTTATTGCAACGAGTCAACCTAAAGAATACACCTCAAGGTCCTTGCAACGTGTCAACCTTGAGAACATACCTCAAAAACCTCACTCAACCTCAAACCCACACCCAAAGCTCACACAAGTCAATAAATCCTCCTTTTCCTCCACAGGAATCAAATCTGGGACGAATTCGAGCAAAGCATCCCCATGTCCACCTACCTAGTCGCCTTCATCGTCTCCGACTTCAAGAGCTACAAAACCGGTAACTTCAGCGTATGGGCGCGACCCAACGCCATCGAGCAAGCCAGATACGCTCTGGACGTAGGTCCACGTGGTCTCCGAAGCCTCTCCAACTTCTTCAAACAAGATTACCAGCTCCCGAAAATGGACATGGTGGCTGTACCTGACTTCTCGGCCGGAGCTATGGAGAACTGGGGTCTCATCACCTATAGGGAGACCAGGCTACTGCGCGATGAAGCTTCAACTTCGGATGCTGTGACTCAGACTATAGCTTCCGTGATCGTTCACGAGCTGACGCATATGTGGTTCGGGAATATGATCACGCCGGAATGGTGGAGCTATCTGTGGCTGAGCGAGGCGTTCGCTAGGTACTTCCAGTACTTTGGGACTGCTATGGTGAGTTCATGTTGAGGTGTTTCGGTATGATGTGTATGTATGAGGTAGTTCAGTAATTTGGGACTGCTATGGTGAGTCCATGTTGATGTGGTTAGGTATGATGTGTATGTATGAGGTAGTCCAGTAATTTGGAACTGCTATGGTGAGTCCATGTTGATGTGGTTAGGTATAATGTACATATACAATGTACTCCAGTACTTTGGAACTGCAATGATAACTCCATGATCTGTTCATATACAATGTACATGTACAATGTAGTCCAGTACTTTGGAACCGTGATGCTAAGTCCATGATCTGTTCATATACAATATACATATACAATGTACTCCAGTACTTTGGAACTGCAATGATAACTCCATGATCTGTTCATATACAATGAACATATACAATGTAGCCCAGTACTTTGGAACTGCAATGATAGCTCCATGATCTGTTCATATACAATGTTCATATACAATGTACTCCAGTACTTTGGAACTGCAATGATAATTCCATGATCTGTTCATATACAATGTACATGTATAATGTAGTCCAGTACTTTGGAGCTGCAATGATAATTCCATGATCTGTTCATGTACAATGTACATGTACAATGTAGTCCAGTACTTTGGAACTGCACTGATATCTCCATGATCTGTTCATATACAATGTAGTCCAGTACTTTGGAGCTGCAATGATACCTCCATGATCTGTTCATATACAATGTACATATACAATGTAGTCCAGTACTTTGGAGCTGCAATGATAATTCCATGATCTGTCCACATACAAAGCTCACTAATATTTAAAATTTGATAGATTGAGCCGACATGGAACAAGAATTGCAATGATAGCTCCATTATCTGTTCATATACAACGTACATATACAATGTACTCCAGTACTTTGGAACTGCAATGATAATTCCATGATCTGTTCATATACAACGTACATATACAATGTAGTCCACTACTTTGGAACTGCAATGATAACTCCATGATCTGTTCATGTACAACATACATGTACAATATACTCCAGTACTTTGGAGCTGCAATGATAACTCTATGATCCGTCCACATACAAAGCTCACTAATATTTAAAATTTGATAGATTGAGCCGACATGGAACATGGACCAGCAGTTCGTTGTGGAGCAGCACCAAACCGCCTACGCTTCAGACGGCGTCGAGTCGTCGCAGCCGATGACTCGCGAGGTTTCAAACTCGCAGCACCTTAGCTCCATAGGGGACACCATAACGTATAACAAGGGCGGTAGCATCGTGAGGATGATGAATCTTGTTTTTGGACCGGACTTGTTCCAGGCTGTACTGCAAAATTATCTTAAGAACAAGTGAGTATCTAGTTCTTACTAGTACTTTGGTACTTTGGTAGCTATGATGGTATATGATACCCTGGATAGTAGCAAGCTTCATGTGAGCTCTCATATATGATGACACGTATGAACATATGTAAAATTTTTCGTATGCAGTCATTGTATGACTTTGGCAATTAGATACACATGATCCAATTGATGCAATGATTTGTACATTGATGGAAGAATGGCAGGTAGCTTTTACATATGATTTTACATATGAAGTCATTGTATGACTTTGATAATTAGATACACATGATCAAATTGATGCAATGATTTGTACATTGATGGAAGTATGGCAGCTAGCTTTTACATATGAAGTCATTGTATGAGTTTGACATATAGATACACATAATCAAATTGTTGCAATGATGATTTGTACATAATTGAAATGATTTGTACATTGATGGAAGTATAACAGGTAGCTTGAACAATGAAACTCTAAATATGGACACCTAACCTAACCTAACCTAACTTAACCTAAACAAATCTTGTGACAATTGCAGCAAAGAGGTGAAGGTAGCTCGTCCAGGGGACCTCTGGAGAGAGTTGCAAAACGAGATAAACAGTCGTAAGATGCAATTAAACACCACTGTTGCTGAGATCATGACCACGTGGACGGAGCAAGCAGGATACCCTGTGGTGACAGTGACCCTCGACAAACAGGGAGTAGCGAGTGTGACGCAGAAACGTTTCCTTCTGAGGAATTTGAAATCGACTTCGACAAACTCGACGTGGTGGATACCCCTCACTTGGAGCACGGATAAAGCAGGGTTTAGCAGCTTGCAGCCGGGGTATTGGTTGAGCAAGGCGCAGGATAAAGTTGTCGTTGGGAATAACACGGAATGGGTGATATTCAATGTTCAGTCTTCTGGTAAGTGGCGTTGGGATGTTGGAGGGGATATGGAGAATGTGGGGATTTAGGAGTGAGGGGATTTGGGGATATAGGGAATTTGGGATGTTTTAGGATTTTGGGGTTTGCAGAATTTGGGGAATTGTTAGATTTGGAGATTTGGGGTTTTGGGAATATAGGGAATTTAGGAAGTTCCAGAATTTTGGGACTTGGAGAATTTGGGGAATTTTTGGATTTGGAGATTTGGGGTTTTGGAAATATAGGGAATTTGGGAAGTTCCAGAATTTTGGTATTTGGAGGATTTGGGGATTTTTTGGATTTGGAAATTTAGGTATTTGGGCATATAGGGAATTTGTAAATGTGAGAATTTGGGGATATGGGGAATTTACCCATGTGAGAATTTGGGGATATAGGGGATTTACCCATGTGAGAAATTTGCGATATAGGGAATTTGCAAATGTGAGAATTTGGGGATATGGGGAATTTACCCATGTGAGAATTTGGGGATATGGGTAATATAACCATGTGAGAAATTTGGGATATAGGGGATTCACCCATGTGAGAAATTTGGAATATAGGGAATTTGCAAATTTGGGAATTTGGAGATTTAAGAATTTGGAATATAGGGAATTTGTAAGTGTCAGAATTTGGGGATATGGGGAATTTACCCATGTAAGAAATTTGAGATATAGGGGATTTACCCATATGAGAAATTAGAGATAAATGAAATTTACAAATGTAGGAATTTGAAGATTTATGTATTTGAGAATATAGGAATTTCTAGGGAATTTTTTTATGGAAACCATCCAAAGAACGTAAGAATCTGAAGATTTGTAAATTTATAAATATACAGATATGCATTTAAGAAAATTTGAATATTCAAAGATTTGGTAATTTTGCTAACATAGGGATTTATGGGATATGCTTACGGAAGGCTAATGACATTCGGTGATAAGAAAACGACAGAAAAGTGCAAAAAGATTTCGTTTATCGAGATAGGATTTTTTGACACGCACTGATAAAGTTTAATTAAATATTGTGCTCGATAATGGTACATGTCACACTGATAACTTATCTATCCGCTTCTATGTGGATCATTCGAGCGTTTGATGATAATGATCGTTATCTGGTATATACAAGAAATTGCACATTTCTGGTGTGCTATAGAATTCTCTACAATTTAAAATACGAAGAATGAATAACTTTAATAAAAAATTCAACTAACGCGTAGTAATTCGACACGTGGTAATTCGGTGCGTAGTAACTCGACGCGTGGTAATTCGACGCGTGGTAATTCTACGCGTGGTACTTCAACACGCAGTAATTCCACACGTGGTAATTCGACGCATGGTAATCCAACACGTGGCAATTCCACGCGTGGTAATTCGATGCGTGGTAATTCGACGCGTGGTAATTCTACGCGTGGTACTTCAACACGCAGTAATTCCACACGTGGTAATTCGACGCGTGGTAATTTAACACACAGTAATTCCACGCGTGGTAATTCCACACGTGGTAATTCGACGCATGGTAATCCAACACGTAGCAATACCACGCTTGGTAATTCGATGCGTGGTAATTTGACGCGTGGTAATTCAATGCGTGGTAATTCAATGCGTGGTAATTCGACGCGTGGTAACTTGACGCGTGGTAATTTAACACATAGTAATTCCACGCGTGGTAATTCCACACGTGGTAATTCGACGCATGGTAATCCAACACGTGGCAATACCACGCTTGGTAATTCGATGCGTGGTAATTCGACGCGTGGTAATAAAACGCGTGGTAATTCGATGCGTGGTAATTCGACGCGTGGTAATTCGACGCATGGTAATTC